TCTATCAGAAGCATCCAAAGCTATTGATGCTGAAGAAACCATGGAAGGATTTATAAATGACCAAAGACTTGAAAAAGCATCTTCATACTTGTTCTCAGCGTGCATCAACAAGATGTCCTCGTATTGCAAGTTTGAGATAAGAAAATAATGGCATTTCTCCTCAGAGAAACTCATCACATGATCTTTGAGATAGTTTTTTAGGCGTTTGGCTAAGAAAATATTTCCTTGTTTACGGGTCAATCTCAACACATCCATACAGAGCTTTAAAGTGACTGGAGACTTTGGAGAAATGGTTTGATAAACACGAAGAACTTTCAACCATGGGCTACAATCTTGATGGACTCTATTAATTGGAGTCTGCGATGACTGAATACATGAACTTAAAATTGTTTGACCTAGTTCTGATTTGGCTTCATTGCCTCTAAGCCCAAGTCCTTCTTCAAATGCAAAGATGCAGTGCAACTGGGTCGCATAGGGTGTTGCCTCAGTTAACCCATCAAGTGATATAACAGACAACATTTCATCCAGCATTGACTTTGCCTTCTGTAAATCATGTGGTACTTTTTCAGTTTTTCCCTCATTATGTAAAAGCAATGCCTGTAAAAGCATCTGCTCACTCCTTTGTAAAGCCAATTTGGGGTCAAGTGTAAGTTCACCGCTAGTTTTTGGTGTCAAATCCAGACATGCCCATGCCGCTTGAAAATCACCCTCATCAAAACATGCCAAAGCCTGAATTGCATTTATTTCATTACCAGCTGTTGTTAAAGCACCAGAATAACTTTTTCCTGCATGCCTAGCACGGAGCATTTGCAACTCAGATAGCCATACTTCTAGAGACTTCCAGTCACATAAAGCTGTATAGCTCTCAATGATTCGTGCAATGGCAAACTGCACACCATCAGAACCCATAGAACTGAGTGAATCCTCATTCTGTAACAAGTGAGCAAAATAAGCGGCAGCCTTCTCATAATGGCCTTCTGCCTGATATACCATCCCAGTTATCCATGAAAATGGTCCTGAAAGCCCACTACTATTCTTCAGGGAGATTTCATCCATAAACAGGGAAGAGAAAGTCATTGAAACCCACTTTTGTAGACCCATCAAAGCTTCAGACTGATGATTCCTACACAATGCTAATGACATGTGACGTAAAATCCTCAAGATATCTCCAGAAAATCTACCTCTGATATTCTGGATGTTCTCTGTTACCTGTGCCCTAGACTTGTCCTTCAAAGATGAGGCCACAAGATTTCTAAGTTCCTGTAATCGTAAAGTACAGTACTGAATTGTAGCATCATGACATTGCAGTACTAAACCAGCATTCATCATTGGCTCGCATATACGAGAAAACCACTCTTCACATACTTTCTTGTTTGCCCGAAAGAACAAGGAGCTCTGTCGAGGAGCAGATGGTAAAACCGCAGATCCCTCGTATGCATTGTATACATTTTTCTTCAGAGCCTCTACAAAATCCAAAAGCAACCTCATTGGTAACAAGTGTGCACCAGAAGAACCTATTATATTCAAGCTTCCATCAGTTTGCTCACTATCAAGCTGTAGTAAGTGTGCAATGTCCAAGAGCATTCGCTCTAAGGCTGCAAAAGTTTGGGCAGGCCCACCAAGATTAGTCCGAAGGCGTGCAGAAATACAATATCTAGCGGCTTCATGCACAGCCCACCAAGCGCCAGCCATATTGTTCACCAAGCAAATTCTTTCAAGAACTTTTTCATCCACTTTTATATCCAACCATATGCCACTGGAACCGAAATTTCCAGCTTCTTCAACTTGACCAAAGGCATTGTCATTTGAATGCCAACTGGTCTGTACGATTCGTTGAATCCAAGCAGAAAGTGGAACTCTCCATCTTTGTGAAATATAACTCAGAACAGAAAAAAATTGTTGCGAGTGAAATTGCTGCTGCAGCTGCTTAAGGGCAAATACTTGCTTCCAGTACAAATTAGA